TGCTCCTGCGCTCCCAGCGCCGCACTCTCCCAAGTGCGCCACGGGCTCGGCCCAGAGCACATTCATTTATTAAAGTGGCATTACAATCTGCTGTGTGTCGCAGAGTGTATTATTTTGCCCAAACAGCTTTACATGAAAATACTTATTGCAACGAGTCATTGATCTGGTTCAAGGTTTGGCAAAAAATAGTTTCAGTAAAGTCTTCAGAGGAACTCACTTTCTTACAGTATAAAATATATTCTCAGAACTGTATTTATGACAAAACTTGGTTCCCATATACAGAAATCCTAGCTCCATCAACTGTACTGCCCTATATTCAAACATATGAACAGCCTAGGGCTGGTTAGAATGAGAGTCCTATGAGGAAGAAAGCATTTTAATAAATATTAAAAATTCAACTCACAGTTAATGTATAATTTACTTGACAATGAAAAATGTAGAAAAGGCAGGTGACATTTTTATCAATGCATTTTTATAAGCTTGAAAACATAACACATCTAAATCGTAAATCATAAGAAATCTATTATTAAATACTAACTAAAACCCCTAAATGAGACAAACTCTGAAGAGAACATAAATTTTGAGGCTTTCTACTTTTATAAACATATTTTTTCAATTCTAAGAAGAATAAATCTCTGTTAATTTATACAATCATATTCTAATTGCATTCTTAACCTAAAGGCAAGATCACTTCAAAATAGCATAGCAAATCTTAGTTCTTTCCTTGGGGTAGGTTGGAATGGGAACGAGAAATCATAAACGCAAAGAGCCTGTCCTGTTAGCCTTGTGGAGACTTTTTCACTTCATGGTGCAGCTAGAAAATAAACTATTTGCATGGCACATGGGGTTACACAGAGTCTAAGGAGTCAGTACTTCCAGTATACCCATAACACACAAGTTCAGAAGCTGTGCTTAAAAACTGAGGTAAAGACAATACACCTCAATGGAATGTCCCTTGAAGTTTCCATTTATTGATAATCCTGGAGCAGCTGGGACGTGGAAGGGGCGGGAAACAAGATACACAAACAAACAAACATAACAGAGACATCTAGTCCATAATCTCATCACCATCATTAAAACCATCTGATAAAGCTCACAATGCCAAGCACTGGTGTATTCCAGACTACAGATTTGCAACAGAACTGTCTACAGTGATAGAAATGCACTATATCTGCGCTGTCCAACGTGGTAGTCACTAGCCACAAGCAGTTACTGAGCATGAATTGTGGCTAATGCAACTGAGGAGCTGCTGGAATTTTTCTTTTATTTTAATTAATTTTTATTTAACTTTAAATACCCACATGTGACTAGTGGCTACCATTTAGAGAATGTAGTTCTAGACTGACCACCAAAACACAAGGTGGCATTTTAAAAGCTTTCAGTACCCAGGCTGATCACAGCTGGGCATGGACCACAGAGTTCATCAGTCAAGTCAAACCTGGAATGGGAAGGGATGGATCCCTCAGCAAACCCAGAGTTTATCATGATGTCAGTGCCATGCTCTATAGCCATACATATGAGTACGCATAGAAAGCCTCCCAACCCACACCCACCCTCTCAAAGTATCAGTTTGAGAGACCAACCCAAAAAGGAAAATATTTCCTCTCCTTCAGCTCACTATTGAACAAAAGCCCACATACAGTGAAAAACCAAGAAGAATCAATAATCACTTATACACAGAAAGTTCTTTCCTGAGGTCAAGCAAAACATCCCTTAAAAGTAGCTCCTTCCCTCCAACTAGTCTCTATCACATCCTTTCTACAAACAAAGCAAGTTGTCATTCAAATTATAATAAAACAGAGTGGTTAGCATTTGCTCTGGAGTCAGACACACTTGAATTCAACTCTTAACTCTACTGCTCACCAGCTGTATATGACTTTGGGCAAGATAATTAATCACTTCAGGTCCAGTTTCCTTCTAAGTAAAATGGGTTAACAACAATCCCTTCCTCATAGTTATAAGGATTAAATGAAATAAGACATATAAAGGATTTAGCAGAGCACCTACCACATAATAAACATTATCTGTTATTTATCATTATTTCATCCTTATTTCTTCATCATCATCCTATCTCCTTAACACAGCAGGTAGAAAACAAAAATCTACAACAAATCATATTTTAGAACAAATTCCAATTTTAAAAATACCCCTTTATCCCCGCCCAAGGTCCTAAGGTATGGAGGTGGGGTCCAGACCCCTACCCACAACCAGGCACACCACCATCACCACCACCAACTAGGTAAGGAGCATGCCAAAAACATCACCTCCATGTGGGTGGCCCATCACAGCTGCCGTGAAAGCAGCTAGAAGCCACAACCACCACACTGATGGTCCACCAGCCACTGGAGTGCATTGACACAAGGAGAGTCACCAGCAGAGACCAAGGAAAAGAGGATGTCTCTCTCCACAATGCCCATTCCAGGGTGACAGAAGAAGCATCTGCTCTACGATAATACTGGGGAACTTGAACACACTTCTCAGCACTGGACAGATCATCTAGGCAACAAATCAACAGAGTAACCATTACTCTTTCAGAAGGAGAGAAGAAATCTAGGTTAACTAGAGGGGGAAGGAGGGAGGAAGAGGGGGATGGGGTAGATTGAACAAGGGGCAGAAAGAATAAGTATGATTTGTAACAATATATATGCTAGTAATACTGATTTGATCAATATATGTCAATGTTGAACCCCAAAAATATGTTTAAACAATTATGATTCAATTAAAAAAAAAACCCTTTATCAAAAGTTATTCTTAAACCTAAATACTTGATATATTAATTTCAATATCTTCTAGTTTCTTTTATACTATGTTTCTACCTTCCTTACAGTCTTGATAGATTCTGTTGTATCTGCCCAAAACCTCTAAGCTCTGCGAGATCTTTTTTCTATTTTTGTGACCTCTCAAAATACCTAGCTTAATTATTTGTGTAGTAGACATTCAGTAAGTGTCACCTGAATTGAATTTATAGAATTATATCCCCGAATGATCAAAAGTAGCTACTTTTAAAATGAATAATGGCATTTGCCCTAAATTAACTCAACAAACACTTCATAATAAGCACTCACTATGAAGCAGCCACTATATACTAAGAGATGGGAATTCAGCTGTGAACAAACAATGGACAAGGTTCCCTGCAGCTTATCTTCTGGTGAAGATAGCAGTCACAGTGAGTAGGTAGAGGAAGGGTGATGGAAAATGATGTAGAATGAGATGACGTTGGAAAGGCAGAGACCAGTCATGGTGTGCCTTGGAGGCCAAGGGAAGCAGCTCACATTATATTCCACATACCATGGGGAGCCACCACGAGAACATGACATGAACTGAAATACTTTTTTCAAGACTGAGGGCCTCTGTGTTCTCAGCACAGCATACAGGGACAAGAATGGAAGTAAGGGGCCAGTTAAGAGGCTTCTGCAGAAGGTACAGTAAGAGATAATGATTATCTAGATTCAAACTGCAGCAGTACAGATGGACCCAAAAGTAATATATTCAGACATGGTTTAGAGATGGAGTTGACAAGACTCACTAATGGCCTGATATAAGGAGGAATGAAAAAATTCTTGTCCCTCTATGCTGTGCTGTGAACACAGAGGCCCTCGCAGTCTTGAAAAAAGTATATCACTTCATGTCATGCCCCAGTGGTGGCTCCCAATGGTATGTAAGAATAAGTCCCTGGTTTGGGGCTTGACTACATGTGCCATTTACTGGGAGAGATGGAGAGAAGCAAGTGTGAGGAAGAATAAATTAGGTTTACTTGGAATATGTTAAGTTCGAGATCGCTAAGTGGAGATTTCAAGTAGGCAGTTGTCGATTAAAGTTTGGAGTTTCAGAAACATTTCAGGGCTAGAGATACAATTTGGGGAGTCACAGGCATCTAGATAATGATTTCAAAGCTATACATTTGCAGAAGATTACTTAGTGGAAATCAGCAAAGGAGGCTGAACTGAGGATTGCATGTAAGGTGGGAATAAAACCAAGAGTGTGGCCCAGAAGCCAAAACAAGAGTTTCCAGCAAGGAGGGAGTGCCCACTTTCTATCTAGTGTTAATTAACCATGAATCTTTCTCAACAATCCTACTAAACAAGAAGCTTTAAAATGGCAAGAACTATTTTTATTCATCTTGGTACGCTCTGTTCTAAACCTATCAGAAGCTCAATTCATGAATACTGACTTAATGATTAGTAAGGAGGTCATGACTGCCCCATTTGGCTGGCATTTGAGCAGCATTCATGTTTCTCAATTTCACAGTCTGTAGCTAGATCTGCCACCCTTCCTAATAAATACAGAAAAATCTCATTTATTCCAAAATTAATCTTCCCAATTATTTCCTTGTAGCCATTTCACAATAAATAGCATGTCCATCCATCACCTGGGCAGTATCAAGAACAGAACTGGACACATTAACAGTTGCTCAGTAAACATTTGTTCGATAAACAGATGGGTGGGGCAGGAGAGAAGACAGGGAAGGGAAACATTAAGTTTCTTGTCTCTTATCCAGCAGGATCTAAGAGGCTTAACCATTCTCTATGGATATCATTTAACACCATATTTTTTTCATCAGTAACTAAGACTGACTGTGACAAACTAAATCTTTTATAAACATAGAAGAAATTTATTAGAAAATAAAATCATCAGAAATATTTCACAATTTGGAAACAGTAAATTAATATTTACTAGGTTCACTTTTTTTTTTTAATAAATATTTACTCCTAGATCTTACTATCCTTATAAGCAATTTACATAGAAAAGATATGAAGGAACCTTCCAAAGCCTAGGAGAGGGTTCAGGAGTTGGATGAGAAAACAAAATTTCCAAAGAAAATAGATTCACTCTTAATGCAAAATGTTTTGTAAAAAACGCTCATACTGATTTCTAGCATTCTCTATAAAAAGCCGCACATCCAAATAACAGAAGACAAAGTACATAAGAACCCAACTATTGAGTGAACTTCTTCCACTTATAATTCTACTAAAAACCCTAAAATTAAAATTCTGCAATACCTGAGGCACCATAAACACCAGAATACCGTTGAGACTTCGAACCAGATGGAGAGGATTCCTTCATTCGATCAATGACATTTTCCGAAAGCTGAAAAACAACATCAAAATAAAATCAATTATAAAAGAACAAGAAAGAAAACCTGTGTAATAATATCCAAATAATTTAGTCATCCATATCAATATGTATAATGAATGGCCTAAAGAAATTAGGCTAAAACTAATAGCTATAAAACTAGAAGTAAGAATAGTTTTAAGATTTCAGGATGTACCCCACATTGCTACTCCTTTCTCTCTTCCAATTCACTGCTAATTGCTCATTATAAATAATTCTCCTCATTTTATACTGTGCACTAAAGTGCAATCTCTGAAAAAATGTAAGCCATCAGAACCCCTTCAACTTTCTTCGCCAAATCCTACAAACTTATTTACGCATTATCAGGCCTTAGGGTCTTCCTTCTTTCAGTCTCAAAGGAAAGGTGCTCCTCCCACCCTCAGTCCCTCCCATTCAAGGCCAACCACATATAATTGCTCTTTCAACAGATTTTATTATGCAACAACTATGTGCCAGAAACTAGGCTAGACTTTGAGTACTCAAAGTTATCAAGTTGATTAAAGTGGAGTGGACAGTGGACTAAGCAGACAACCATCAGGCGTTTAAATATAACATGCTACTTGAGTCAGTCAGCCTGTAATGGAAGTACATAGAAAGCATAATGGGCAGCACATTTAGCCGGTCTGTGATGGTGGGGCTGGAGAAGGATGTCTAGGAAGACTAGCAAGGCACAGATGAATAGAAGTTAGAAAGAGATGGAGTAGCATAAGTGTTCCAGGATGAGGGAACCACATTAAGTATGGCTTCTTTCACTTAGCATAATGATTTTTAGGTCCATCCATAATGTAGCATGTATCAGACTTCATTCTGCTTTGATTACTGAATTGTATTCTATTGTATGGATATATAAAGTTTTGTTTATTCATTCACCAATAGATAGACATTTGTTTGTTTCCATTCTTGCTATTATGAATAATGCTGCTATTGATGACAACAGGGTTTGCATCATTGGTATCTCCAAGTGGAGATATCAAGTAAGCAGTTGGCAAGAGGGTAGAGGCTCTGAGGAACACTCGGGCCTGGAGATGTGAGTCATCAGCTCCACAGTTACTACCACATCATCTATTTTATTTTCTTCATAGTACTTACCACTATCTGATGCTTTCTTGTTTACTGTCTGCCTTTCACACTATAAAGTAAGTTCCCTGAAAGCACGGATTTGGCTGTTCTTTTACTATATATCCAGAGCCTCAATAAGCCTGGTTGAGACTGGTTAAATGAAAGAATTAAATGATATGAATGAAAAAATAAAAGAATAACTAAAGCAGGAAACTGGACAGAAGGCATGGTGAAAGAGAAGGTAGAGAGGAAAGGAGATTTCAGATTATGAAGACATAACAAGCTCTTGGATTTGAAGAGTTTAAATTTGATTCTGAGGGTGCTTGGGCACTACTGAAAGATTTTAAGCAGGATAATGACAAGATCAGATTTACATCTGAGGAAGATCACTGGCTGTAGTGTAACGAACAGATTGGAGAGGGACAAGAACAGAAGCAGAACCCCTGAAGGAGGCTAAAGAACCAATTAAGAAGCTATTAAGCATATGTCCACACAAAGACTTGCACGGGAATGTTCATAGCAGCATTATTCATAATAGCAAGAGTGGAAACAAACAAATGTCTACTTGTAAATGAATAAACAAAACTTTATATATCCATACAATAGAATATAATTCAGCAGTAAAGAAGAATGAAGTTCTGATATATGCTACAACATGGATGGACCTAAAAATCATTATGCTAAATGAAAGAAGCCAAACACAAATGATTCTTATTTCTATAAAATGCCCAGAAAGGCAACTCTAAGGAGACTGAGAGTAGATAAGTGGTTGCCTAGGACTGGGATGGAAACCGGGATTAAATGTAAATGGACTCGAGATCTTATTGGAATGTTGAAAACATCCTAATTTGTAGTTATGGTTGCACAATTCAGTAAGAAAAAATATTAAAAAGTGTTGGACATTTAAAACAGGTGAATTTCATGGCACATAAATTACTCTGCAATTAAGTTGTTTAAGAAAAAATGCTATTATGGTCATCCTGGGGAGAACATACTCAAAAGATATTTAGGATTCAAAACAACTAACATTCACTGAGTGCTTATTATATGCCACTCAAAAGACATTTAGGATTCAAAATAATATGCACTGAGTGTTTTTTACATGTCAGGCACTACACACTGGCATGTAAAGACTAAGCACTTCACTCATTTAAATCCTTAACAAGCCTACGTGATAGATACTTTTCTCTATTTTATAGGTGAGAAAACTGAAGCACAGCTAGATTAAATAACTTGCCCTGGACCACACGGCTTATCAATAACATGACCAAGACTCAAACCCAGGCAACCTGAGTCTTGAGGTCACACCCCAACATCCCTCTTCACTACGGCTCAGTGTCTCACTAGACGTGGGAGTAAAGCACAAGTCATCAAGAAGGACCCCAGGGTCTCCAGGTCAAGTAAGTGGGGGATCCCCATCCTGTACCAAGGACTTTCTTCCAATGTTCACTTCCTCAACTCACTATTATCTGGCTTTGACTCCCAGTGCAGCAGTGAAAGTGTTCTGGAAAAAGTCACAATGGCCAAAACAATAACTTTTTATAAATTGACTTATATTAAATATATTTTATATCTATGAAGCACTTGTTTTTAAGGCTTCTATTTAGTATCTAACACCTTTGGTCACTTCCCTCTTCTGAACCCCCCCCACCCCCACCCCTTGGCTTTTTCTGACATCCCAACTGACCTGGTTCTCCTAGGATTCTGGCCATGTCTTATCTCTTTTGCAGGCTTCCCCTCTCCTACCTCTCCTTAAATGCTACAGGGCCCCATGTTCTGTTCTTTTCCCTTATATTCTTCTTATTCCATGTGCTCTTGTTGGTGCTCTCTTCCAATCCCTTGATTTTTAACTGCTGTTTATAAATTAATAAATTCTAAATCCATTCTCTCCAGTCTAAGACCTGTATCCCAAAAACCAGGACTATACATTGAATTGCCTAATGTACACCTTCCCTTGAACAGACCAAAAGCACCTCACGCCCAGCATGTCAAAACTGAACTTGGCACAGGGCCCACCTGGGGCCCTGAGGCATGGAGTGAGGACCTGACCCCCTCCACAACCAGCACACCACCAGTGCCACACAGGGCCTGCCTGGGGTCCTGAGCTATGGAGCCAGGAGCCAGGAGCCACCAGCAAATAGGTAAGGAGCAGGCCAAAAAACATCACCTCCATCTGGGTGGCCCACCACAGCCACCACAATAACCATGGTTTCCACGAAAGCGGCTAGATGCCACCAACAGTGCAGACAGTCCCCTAGCCACTGCAGTGCATTGACACGAGAGTCACCAGCAGAGACTGAAAAGAGGATGTCTCTTTCCACAAAGCCCATTCCAGAGAGACAGAAGAAGCATCTGCTCTACAATAATATTGGGGGACCTGAACACACCTCTCAGCATTGGAGAGATCATCTAGGCAACAAATCAACAGAGTAACCATTACTCTTTCAGAAGGAGAAAAGAAATCTAGGGTTATCAGAGGTGGGAGGGAGAAGGGAGAGAGGGATGGGGGAGATTAGACAATGAGCATAAAGAGTAAGTATAATTTGGGGCCGGCCCGGTGGCGCACTGGAGAGTGCGCCGCTTGGGAGCACGGTGGCACTCCCACCGAGGGTTCGGATCCCATGTGGAGACCGGTTCCCGCTCACTGGCTGAGCGTGGTGCGGGCGCAACACCGAGGGTTGCGATCCCGTTGCCGGTCCCCGGTACGGGCGCGACACCGAGGGTTGCGATCCCGTTACCGATCAGTAAAAAAGACAAAAAGGAAAAAAAAAAAAGAGTAAGTATAATTTGTAACAATATGTAAGCAAGTGACATTGGTATGATCAACATATGTCAACATTGAACCCCAAAAATATGTATAATCATGATTCAATAAAAATTTTAAAAATAAATAAATAATAAAAAATTTTAAAAAACTGAACTTGGTTTGCCAAAAAATCTCTTCTTCCTCATGCTTTCCTTATCTCATTAATGACACCACCTCCACCCAGCTTCCTAAACCAGAACACAGGATTTGGCCTCAACTCTTCTTTCTCCTTCATTCTCTCAGCTGTGACTTACTCAACCCCTAAATAATTAACGAATTCATCATCTCTTCCCCCATCCCATTTCTCCTGCCCTAATTCATGGTACCATTAATAATCCTCTAAAATGCAAATCTGATTATGACAACCCCTACTTCAAATCTTTCTATAGCTACCTTCTGTTGACATGAAAGTCCAAATTTTTTTGTATGGCACTCGAGACTTCATCATTTGGTGATAGCCTAGCTCTCCAACCTCAACTCCTGTAGTTTTTCCCTTCATACTTCATACCCTGTTCTAACCTACACGTGGCTTTTTTTTTTTGCTGCCATCTCCTGCCTACATTACACACACCTACATTGCTTTCTCTCCTGGTGCCTTGGGAGGGAGGCACCTTTCAAGATCCAGTTCAAGCATCCTTTAGCCATCACTGACCAAACCAGTTAGTTCCCCATTCCATTCCAACCCTGCCTACCCGAAGCTACCCTTCCTGTGGCCACTGTATTTGCACGAACCTCCACTACAACACTCCAATGACAGCACGAGAACTTGCCTTTCTGCCTTTCCATGAAACCGTGAGCCCCTATATATTAGTGAGCCATTCATTCAACAAATGTTTACTAGGCCAGGAATTAATCAAGGTCCTTGGGATACACTAGCAAACAAAACAGTTTGTACCTGAACAGTTATTTATACCTCCAAATCAGAAGGGAGGTGAGATGGCAAAGGGAAAGGGCTCAGCTCAAAAGTTGTACTCTTCGAAGGAAAAGCCCATGACTCCTTTCTTGAAAGACAAGTGGAAAGTACCAAGGACTTTCTATTTGAAGATGCTAGGGCCAGCAGCATCTTTTCTAACAACTGACAGCCACTGGGAATGTTGCTGAAACTCAACTG